TGCAAGGTAGGGTATGCAGTGCGATTCCTATATAATATATGTATACATACGCATATATATATATATATATATTATACATACATCTATACACACGTATGTGTATACATTGTATATATACATACATATATTTATTTAGTTATCAGCTTATATATCTACAGCGGATTGCTGTATTATGCATAGCTGATGAGTGCTCTTATGAATTGTTTGAGCGTGGGTGTTTTTTGCACAGAGCTTTAATACGGAAACCTCGACTTTTAATATTAGACGAGGCTACATCGGCTTTAGACGTGGAAAGCGAGAGGGTTGTTCAACAGACGATTGACGAATTGCTCGCAGCAGAGAAACGCAGCACCATCATAATTGCCCACCGACTTTCTACTGTGCGGAATGCAGGTACATCTAGTTTTGTGGGAGGCTTTCTCGTTAATAATATGATTGTTTTTCTGGCGCTTATTACTTTGCCTGAGGCATATGTAGGCGTGATCGCACACCAGCAAAGTTAAGGCTGTGAAGCTTATGTAGCATGCTGCGCTTGGCCTGTCTGCTTGAATTCAGACAAAATCGTGGTTCTGACAAACGAGGACAGGAAAGGAAGCCGAGTGGCGGAGGTGGGAACCCACGACGAGTTGATGCAGATTAAGGGGGGCCTATACAGAACGCTTGTTGGGCTGGCATCAATGCAGGCTAAGTAACGAAGCAATGATCCATAGGTCTCGCGCTTCTGATGTGCGCGAAAGAAAAGGAAATTGTGTTGCATGGTAGATGCGTACAGGCAGATTAGTAGAGAAAATACATTTATGTTTAGACGGAACCTCCGCGTTGGGTGAGCTTTCAGTTTATCGCTTTTTATGCATTCACTTTTGCCCTCATTGTGCAGCCAAAAGGGCGGCAGTTATTTATTTCTTCACAGTACGTTCAGTTCAGCAGTAGCGATTAGTTGTTTTCAGATCGCCTTCCGGGCGAAGGGAGTTTCTTCCCCGTGGTTCTCCACCCGACTCTTACAAATAGTATCAGTACAATGTGAATAATCCTATATTATTGTTACTAGAATTTAGCTTCCCTCTTCACCGCCAGTGGCTCCAACTGAAGCCGGGGCTCAGTGCAAAGAGGTGCGCGAAGTGTAGAAAACTCCCAGCCTTGAAGCCGCTACCGCGTACTTCTATGGCTTTTTCTGCGTCAACGAAAAACAAACAGCCTTTCCCAGCAAGGTGACTATTGTTGCACTGTAAAGCGTCCCTCTAAACATGTCAGTTTGCTCGTGTTTAAGCAGGTCACTTTGTGCCTGTTAAACATACCACCGTACCTACCTTTTCAGGCAGATCGCTGCATACCTGCCTAAATATAACACTATATGCATGTTTAAGCATATCGCAATGCACCTGTTCAATCACTATAGTCCCTATACACCGTTTTCTACAGACCACTATACAGCACATTAACAGATCGTCCAGCCCTTTGTTGTTCTACAACCTATTGAAGCGACAATGCTACCGGGCTGGGTCCTGCCTGATGAGCCAGCTGCATTTTCCCTTACAAACCCGATAATAATGACACGCAATAAACAATCAACTGCCTGTGCACTGTAAGTCCATTAAGCCTAAATATAGTCGCTTGTAACTGCTTATAACCGAGTAGAAAACTACAGCTACAAAAGTCTTCACAGTCAGGGTCATGGTCGCCAGTTGTCGGAACTTCTCACACGAAAGCAGTGAGTTGCACTGGTCCGAATGAGCATTAATACAACATATATACAATATACCATATGTTAGTATGTATAACATATATTAATATATTTATATATATATATTCAACTGGAGGAGCGTGCGATGTCCACCAGCGCAAAGCCGTAGCACCCCCTGAGACCTCCCCCGCCCATCTTTGTTACAATCCATCAACACGCTTGAAAGGCAAATACCGACGCTCATAATCGAGCGAAAGCACTTGTCGTATTATCCTCTCAACTGATCTAAAGAGGTTTCCTTTACGCATAGAGCTGTTGATTGATTACAATGCCCCTCGCCCTCCTAGCAAGCGAAGCGCAATAATATACACCTGCAGCACGCAGACGTATATAATATATATTATTGGGCACATTATCAGAGCTCGTCTTTCTTCGCTTCCGCCTTCTTGGCGTCTTCCTTTGCATCCTTTCTGTCAACAAACTTTGGGACTTTCGCTTGAGGCACAATCTTAAAGCGCGCGTCCCCGCTGGAAATCTTCTCGAGCATCTTCCTGATATGGGGCTTCGTGGCCTGCAAGCACGTTTGCACCCATCAATGCAAAATCAATTCTTCAGCAGCATATATTCCCCAGACTTGCATGCACGCGTGCTCCCAAGCTTGTTTCCAAAATATCCCTGCTATCGCTGGAAACGAACTGACAAAATGAGTTCTGGTTGGTAGTCCGTCCGCCGTTGCAGGGCAACGAAGCGTTCCGGTTCCCCTTTCCTACTGAAGACCTAGGGTGTGTGGGTTCGAGTTCGCGAGTGTGCAGTGATCTAGGGTTCAGGCTGTTCGGTATTGAAGTGGCGTTCAGGGTTTTGGCTGTTGTGCATTAATAGACGGTTTCGGGCTTTGGTCGGTGGGTTTTGCCCTACGGCTTAGGGATTAAGGTTTTATCTGTTTAAATGTTTTGTTTGCTTACAGGTAGGTCTCCATCTAGTTTGAGGAAGCGAACTTTCTTGTGCGGGTTGATTGCGACGACACTGGGAGTGTTTGTGATATCAAAGAGCTCAGCCCATTCTTTCTCTGTGGCTAAATCGATCCACATAAAGCGAAAGTCGGGGCCCTTGCCATCATGGCCTTCATAATCTTCTTTCAAAGACTCCATCACCTCCAACTCTTCTGGTGCTAACTCGCGGCCCCTCTTCGCCAACATCACACAAACAAACTTGTTGCTCTTCTTGAAACACACGTCCTGGCTTGACTGCTTCGTCAACTCAGGAATAGACTCAACTTTCCTGCAGACGCAAGCAATACATGCATGCAGACATGCATGAATACATGCATGCATGCACAACTACATGGTTGCATGCATGGGTGCACCTAAGAACTCCTACTGCACACGCAGCAGCTGCAGCTCTACGCGTCTTCCAAAGTTGGTACGGCGAATGCAGCAGCACCTTAAAAAACGAAAAGAATAGATTCAGTTCAAATTGTTCAGCACCTAAAGATGTTTTGCAGTTGTTCCCATTGTGCATAGTGCCAATAATAATGATCCAATAATACTAATATACGCTACCAGTATCAATACTAATATCAGTAATGTTAGTCAGGCGATGAGGTACCAGGGCTGAAGTTCAGGATCGAACTCTGCAGCGGGAGCCGTATCCGAGAAGCCTCCCCCCATAACGAAAGTTTCTGAAAAAACATTTAGCCAGTCAAACAATTTCTGAAACTCAAACGCCCCCTTATAAACTTCGTCTTTTTTATCTTTTCGCACCACCACCAAATGCGGGAAAGAAGAAACCTTATACTTCTTCACTGCCTCAGGGAACTGGTCTCTGTTTAAGAGCACAAAGGCCAACTTGTCCTGAAGCAGATAAAAGCAACGTATACGTAGTGATATATTACTTATAATACGTATCACATGTCCTTCAATGCACGCGCTACACAGATAAGAACAAGGGATATATATTTGCATGCACTCGATATATGCTATCTATACCTTGCAGATCAATCGAAAACTGTGTAGCATGTGCATAGAATGCGCCCCCTCCCATGCATACGCGCATTTCGAGGAATGTAATTAGCATGTAAGCGACGGAAAGACAAAAATGAAAGAAACAAGCACAATTGCAATGCAATATAAATACCGAAACACACGAACAGACAGACACATACGCACACACACACACATAAAGACAATATTATGTATATAATACACTAGAGATTCAACGCACGGGTAATAAAGTGGTTCCCTTCCAAAAACAAAAACTCGGCTCTACAGCCTCTATATTGCTGTCACAACAGTGCATGCCTACGAAAAAGCACGGCTTAATAATACTGTATACGCACGCCTATGCACATACTCAGTAAATATATGTACATATATATAGTTCTATACGTATTACCTGTATTATAAGCTCGACATATGTGCATATGGATACAGCTACGCATGTTCTACGTGAGCATGCATTTAGTGCCCCTAACCTTAAATGCGTTGCTGAGAGCCTTAACAAGAAGCGATGGCTTTGTGAGTTTATCAGAGAAGAAGAGAGCCTTGGGCATTTGAACAGTTGAAGCAATTAGAGCATCGAGCTCTTTCTGGTTCGCTACCGACTTCACATTGGAAGGAATCAAAGAGCGAACCGCCTTGATAAGACCCTCCGCGTCTTTGGGGCCCTGCAACAAATGCAAAAATTGGCATCAAAAAATAATAGATAATGAACTGGAACAATATATTTAAGTTAATATGTCCAAATACTCTTCTTTTAGTTCCAAATGGAAAAGAAACTAAGAAAACGAAGACGCATGCTCGTCAATACACTTACGACACACACTAATAGAAATATTCGTTGTTTCTATGTATTTATTACCTACATCTACAATATACATTTATATATACATATATACGTATATATGCACGTATATATGCATATATGCGGCATCTCTACAACAGGCATATCCAGCAAGTATCAGCACATAGTTGTTGTGTATGTACAACGCCTATACGCAATACCTCTACAATGTTCAATGGTATACATAGATTTAAAATACATAAATTTATATACACAAATACAAATACAGATATGCAGCCGATTCTGTTTTCATTCTCCCCAGTCAACCTGTGCACGAGTCTCTCTCATCTCCATTGCGGTATCAGCTTTGCTATTGATTGGATTTCTGTTCCTGTATTTCGTGTATTTTGTTCCTTGCCTGGTGGGGGAAGGGAGGCAAAGGGAAAGGAGGGAAGATAATAATTTGCGGTAGTTGGCTGGCGTTGTTGTCTTTGCATAGTTTGGGGTTCTCGTCACAGTCAACAGCGAGAACTTGCACGATGCCTTTCATCTTCTTTGCGAATGTGTCGTATTCTCCATCAATGAGTGTTTTGCTTTCTTTGTCTGAAGGCCGGTAGAACAACACAGAAAAGACTGTGGTGTCTCTGAATTTAAGGACCTTCCCGCTCCATGTTGCTTGTGTAACTACGCCAATGTCGTGCTTCATAGGATCAATCAGAGGGCGAGCTGCTGCTGCTCCAGCAGGCAGCGACAGCAACAGCAGCACACTGCAGCATGTTGCTGCTGCAGCAGCAAAAAAAGATGCGAGATATCTGCGATGCTGCTGCTGCATGGTGTTCGTGGCCCTGGGGGAGATGATGCTGCTGCTGCCGCCGCAAGCCGCCGTTAATCCCATATCGTCGTTTAAAACCCTTTTAATTTAATTAAAAGAAAAAGAGAATACGAAAGGACAACAGGAATTCAAACGCCAATCACCCAGACGACTGACTGCACGCGACAGACACGAGCGCTGGCTGCTGCTGCTGCCGCTGCTGCTCCAGGAGCACCATCTGATGTACAATAGGTGCAGAAACCAGTCACGTTATTGGATGCAACGCTATATTCATTTAAAAACAAGTATTTATGAATTGAGAAAACCAAGAATAAACAACAAATATTAATACGAACTTCTTTATCGCGCGTTATACCAAATGCTGCACCCAGCCCCGTCCATCTCGCGGTTTTCTGCTCGCAGTCTGCCCTATTTGCTGTCTCTAATCAAAGTATCCAGTTCTCTTAGCTAATTATCTTTGTAAATTACATTAAAGGTTGTTTCTGAGACTCCACTTTGAGCTAAAATAACCTATGAGTTACTCGCTGCCGTTGTGAAGCAGTGGTGATTCATAGTATCTCTAGCCTACACCTTAGGTGTCATTCCGTGCATTTCAGCTGGGGTTCAAGCTATCTGCTGGCAGCAGATTAAATGTATGAAAACTGTCTACAGTCCTAGCACTGCATGCAGCAAATCGGGGTGCCTGGTGCGTCTAATAATGCTTGTGTGTGGGGTTGTGGCTGCCTTGCAGCAGGAGCTGTTGCTGCAGTTTCTGCTGCTGCATCTCGTACGAGAGAACAGAATCTGGTATATGCGAGTCCATTTCCTCTCCGCATCATTATCATTATCCTTACATGCCCTTCCTTGCGCCGCTGAGACGGGAGAAGTTGTTGCTATTAGAGGTGTTTATTAAGACAACTACCTCCGTATTGAAGGTGCTTTTCTAAATATTTATTTTCTGAACCCGTTAGACTCTGCTGCAACTACACTTTGTAGCACCTCTAGTTGTAAGCGAAATCTCTGTACCAAAAAATAATCAAGTAAAATAGAAATATATTTTGGGGTATCTTCTGGTAAATGCGTTGTCTGCACTTCCCGATTCGGTGTTTCTTCACGCACTTTCTCATTTCTGATGACGTTCGTTCTCTTTCTCACCTACAAACGTCGAGAGGGCTCCCTTACAGGGATTTGTTTCGGTGCAGATAGAGCAACAAACAATAATACCAAATAAATGCACATCTACTGGAGCGAAATAATTATATTTAAATCATTTTTTATAGGACAGAGTTGGGTTAAAGGGAAAAAACGTGTTGTTTGCAGTGCTTCTTCCCTTCCAACAGAGAGGAGAAAGAGAGATAAAAACGAAGGCGAACGCAAGCAAGATGGTTTCTAGTTATCATTGTTTTGTCATTTTTTAGTGCTACTACCCTGTATTGTTGCATATTGTTATTCTATTTTACTATTTATTACCATTAATTAGCTATAATAATAATAATAGTAATAATAGTAACATTATTATTATTATTATTATTATTATTATTATTATTATTATTATTATTATCATTATTATTACTATCCTTTATGCCCGTTATAGATATTCTATTGCATTGAGAAGGACGAGGAGGTCCTGCTGCACCGCTCTCGTTGTTGTGTCTCCATTTCTTGGGAAGTAAAAGTGAGAAAAGCTAGCCGATGATTGCAGAGAGATAATAACTAAAAACACCACTTCATAGCAAGTGGAAGATTATTATTGTATAGTACCATATATTAATATTTTGTATTTTTATTGTACTTACTTTTACTTTTTTGAGCGGAGAACTCAGGACTGAAGAGAACGTTACATTAAAATGCGGCTGTCTATGCAATAATAAGCCATCAGGCAAGTAGCAATAATAGCAATAATAGTATTACTATGAATATTGTGTTTGCTACTACTATATCATCAGCATGAGCACCCAAAACCCTCAAGAAGAGCAGCCGAGAGAACTATTTCCTTCGGATTTTATTGAGAACTTCTTACTGTCGGTATCGAAAGGAAATTGCTGCTTGGGGCTTTACTGTGAGCTATCTACTTCAGCTTTTTAGACAACTGCATAGGGTTATCTCGACAATTGTTTAGGGCTTTATAGACAACCAATTAGGGTTTACAGATAATTACTTAGGGCTTTGCTGCGTAAGTACTCAGTGTTTGTAGAGAACTGTAGGGTTCAATGGTGAACTAATTTGTTAGAGTTTTACAGTGCAGTACGTAGATGCTTGGAGTATTGTAGGGGACTACTTAGGACTTTAAAGAAGACTGCTGAGAATCTTATAGAGAACCACTTGAGGTATTATTTAAACTGCTCTTTGAGGGTTTCCTTTAGAGAATTACTTGCGTAAGATTGCAGTTGGGTGCACGTTCTTGAGAGTAAGGGGGAGAAAAGGCGGCTTGTGCCAAGTTGCACCATCATCTGTGCTTGTCCCTTTCTGTATAAGGGAGAGAGCATGCAAGTAAGCACAAACGAGCCCAGTTATGGTGCATACATAAGCACAGTAGTAAGTGCTAAGCGCCTACTGCGCCTCTACTAGCCAACAGACACAACACACAAGCGTTGGTGGATAGATACTTGCATGCATAAGCTTTCGCACAACCCACTTTATCTGTTCGGTTTCCTTGCGTTTAGCACCAACAACGTCATAAACCGTATGTCCCAAACCAAGCCTTCAAGCCTAAAAGAGAAGAGCCTAAATAGGATGGCTGGCCCTTGGAAAGTCTGCTCTGAATGAGTGTATGGGAGTTTGCCTACCAGATTTTGCGTTGAGTTAACGCACTGGTGCGGTGGCCACAAAACAGAAGAGAACCAAGAAGAAGACTTTCACGCTAAGATAGCCTAGACCGTATAACCCAACATACCACGATTAATGCGATATACAGACTACATAGAAGTTCACATATATATATATATATACGTATATATATATATTATATATATATGTATATATATATATATATATATCTTATGTGCATCAACGCATAAAAATCTACACAATGCCTTCTCTTTATACATATATGTAGCATATATGTGTATAGCGGATGCGCAGACAATAGGAGTAAAGCATAACCATCAGTACACACGGAAGCGAGAAATGGGGCACTATTTGCTGTACCAAAGTCCCTGTTTATGCACAAAGCATGTGCAAGCACTGTTCACGAAGCGTGAGTATTAACTATGAATATTCCGTACTTATTATTTGCGCTTTAAAGGCCAATAAACCACTGCCTGTACACGACCAGCCAGCAGCTGAAGCGAAGGTAGTGACCTACCTAGTACAGAAGATATAGATGTACAGTAGTGTTACATAGTGGACATAGTTTAAGAAGGTATTTTTCCGTATAATAATGTCGTGCTAAATAAATTCCCCATATTAGTGGTGAAGATGAAAGCTTTGTTCCCATGCTGTCTTGCCGCCGAATAACGAAATCGACGATGTTTCTGTTCGCCTTACCGGGTAGCAGCAGCAGTATTCGGCGCAGAATGGCCCCAAAACAACATTTTTGCTCTGTATACAATTACTTAGATTTAATAAAAGTTCAGGAATATAGGAGTTTTCCGTCAAAAGCAGCAAGGAAGACATTCAAACGAACCGTGGGCCTATGAGCACCGTCGTGGCCCACACCGCAATGCGGTGAGGAATGGAAATGACCGAGTAGTACAGCAGCTTCTAAATCTAAACTATTCAAAAGTAATAATAAACAGGAAATAAAATTGCATTATAAATTATGAATACACGAATATTCCACACACATTACATAGTCGCCCACCCTACGGTCTTGCTGACTGGCCCACCCGCCACCAGCCGCACCGGCTTGCGGCCATCGGCGTGTCTGTTGCGGTTGAGGGCTTCAGAATGCTCCTCATCGAATTATCTTTTGCTCTTTTACTTCTTTATCTGCTTCGGACGAACGTGGAAAGCAATCATAAGAATAATCATAATTGTTCACAAGTTGGCGGAGGAGCTGCTTCCTTTCTCATTGCTGCTTCGACGTCTTGTGCGAACTTGTCCACCACGAAGGACCGTATCTGTTTCAAATTCCATTTTGGAGTTTCATTTTTCTTTCTTGAAGATGATTGTCGGGTGCCCGAAAGAAATTAAACCGCAGGAAGGGAGAGTCGGGCTGCTGCCTTTTGGCGTTGCTGAACTCGTACGAAATAAACACACCGTCTTAATTCAGAAGAATGCTGGGCTCGCGGCGGGAGCAACAGATGAACAATACAGAGCAGCAGGAGCACAAATTGTTGAAAATGCAGAGGAAATATACGCACGATCAGATCTTATCGTTAAGGTAAGTAAAGGAAGGCGAAAACTACGTTTATTTTCATGTAACCACTGAGGCGTTGTCGGAAAGTCAAGGGACCCCCACCCATACGACCGCACTCATTCATTTGAGGGTCTTTTCGGGATTTGTGGTAGTGTAATTAAATTAATAAGTATCTTTTTGAGTTTATTTTAGCGTCTTTACTCAGTCCTGTGCTTTCTTTGATCTCTGTTGCGATAACGTCTTGCCGCCCCCCACTGTATGGCCTCCACGGAAGGCCATAGAGAACAGGGCAGTACATAAGGTGTGAAGTGCGTGCATTTAAAATACGCCATCAACAATGGTTTATTTTAAAAAGATGACTGAGCATTTGTCTAGAGTGTTTCAATTCAATGTTCTCCCCTTTCCGGTGTATGCGTGCTCAGGTCAAGGAGCCTCTTCCATGTGAGTTTGTCCACATTCGTTCGGGGCAGGTGGTGTTTACATACTTCCATTTTCCTTCAGATCGTCAGTTGACGGAGGCGATGTTGCAGTGCGAAGCTGTATGCATCGCCTACGACACTGTAGAGGATTCTCACGGTCGTTTGCCGCTGTTAGAGCCCATGTCTGAAGTTGCAGGCCGCCTCGCTGTACAAGAAGGAATGCACTTTCTCTCGTATCATAAGGGAGGAAAGGGCGTTCTTCTTGGGGGGGTCCCGGGGGTTTCTCATGGAAAAGTTTTGGTGATAGGCGGAGGAGTCGTCGGACTCAACGCAGCAAAAACCGCTGCAGGCGTTGGAGCCACGGTCGTCATCTTAGATAAAAATCTCGAAAGATTGAGATTCATCGTAAGCCTGTAAAAATATAAACTATTTAATGTTTATCATACACCATGTATATAATTATACATTGTCTATACTACATACATAATTCTATGCTCAAATGTATGTATACGTTTGTGCATATATACACTCCAATGCATACAAATGTGCACAAATATTTGTACACTAGTGCATATATATATTTATGTATATATGCATATCGTATGCGTACACGATACGGACTTTTACATCAGAGTCGTAAATTTTACAGTGTCATCACAAGGAAAAGTAGTTAATGCTACGCGACTCTGCGTGTCAAAACTGCGCGCATGTAGAAGATGGATGGTAGAGTAGAATGCACTCCCCCCTGCATTTGTCTGAATTTCCTGATTTCTTTATTGAATTGAATCAATTGTTCCTTGTTCACAGGACGACATCCTTCCTCGAAACTGCACGACTCGTTATTCGAGTGAAGTAGCATTGATGGAGGAATTGCCGACTGCTGACTTGGTGATTGGCGCAGTTCTTCTTCCTGGGCGACTCACGCCGAAGGTGTTGAGGCGTGTACACTTGCAGCAAATGAAGCGAGGGAGTGTCATTGTAGACGTGGCAGTTGATAATGGAGGCTGTTGCGAGACTAGCAGACCCACGTCTCACGACGACCCTACGTACACCGTAGACGGCATTCTGCACTACAGCGTCGCCAATATGCCGGGGGCAGTGCCTGTGACAGCAACTGCTGCTTTAACAAGTGCAACACTCCCCCATATTCTACAACTAGCCAATTTGGGCTGGAAAGATGCATGCGCTCAGTCTGCACCGTTGCTCAAAGGACTCACTATCGCTCAAGGCAAAGTGCTGCACAGGGGAGTCGCTGAAACGTTCAACCTCACGCTGTTTAGCTTTAACGAACTCACCCCAGAGCATTCTGTTCCTGTGATCGATGCCTAAGAACGCTGATTGTGCATTTGCGTATGCCATATTCTCATCCATTTGCACTTCCGTATATTATGTTGCATCTCATGCTTATGGTCCTGAATTTCGTTTTCTGCTGGACGGCGGCACGCTGAATATACGGAAATTCCTTCTTTCTTTTCGTGGGTTTCATGCTTTCCACTGCCGTCCCAGTGTTGGTTTGCCAGGCGTTCTTGAACGCATCGCCAACGACTGACGGAGGCGTAAGAAATTCGTTTCTTTCGAAATGTAATATCTCCTATTTATCTGTAGAAATATTTTTTTTGCTTTTTAATAAACCCCGCCTCAATTTTATTTTTCGCTACCGAGGACGTGCGACTAGGTCAACGAAGCAACCAGTCACAACGGGCAGCGCTTGAATAAGTGATGCGTGTGTGCTGAGTACTTAGATGTAGTAGGTCTAATGCAGAAATATATGTATTTATATAATTATGTACGAAACGTTTTTTGAGAGGGGGATGCGTAGGCATACGATATAGAAAGCCTGAGGGAGCAGCAGTAAACGGATCGCAGCAAGCCGGCTACTTATTATATAGAATATTTGTGCTGCACGGATGACAGAAAGAGGCGATTCGAACAGAAATGAATATGCAAGTACATTATTGTTGACTGTAGTGCAGCTACAACTGCAACTGCCGATACTCCATATTGAACAAGCACGAAATCAACGCAAAGTACAAGTTGGTTCGCTTTTTGCACATATCTGTAGTGGGACTTAAGTGAGTTCCTGCCTTCAATTGTTTCTGCTGTCGAAGTTTGTCCCACTTTCAAGCCTACTGTAGCGTAAAGCCTGAGAAGGTCTCGCCAAAACAGCGAGACAAATGAAATACTCTACGGTGTATGGCTGTGCGAGTGAGTCTGCCTGTTACGGACAGAATTAGGTCAGTTGAGGCATTTCTTACTCATAATTCACCTGCACAAATGCATTTTTAAATGAATTTACTGGAGATTTCATGCGAAAGAAGGAGGGCTTCAAGCTGTGGGCTTCTACGGGGCGGTCGGGAACTCGAAATGTCACTCCGTTTCACGACGGACTTACGGAGCAGCTTACCACCTACCGTACTCTTAGCAAAAGCAAAACTCATAAATGTTAAGAAAAACGGCGGTAATGTTCAAGTTGAAGACACATTTATTCGCATAGGGGCTGCCGCCGCCGTTCGAACCACCTTCGTCGTCGGCTGCGCAGTGAGTGGACTCAAACAGGCAGCAGTCGGGAGGAAAACGGCGATTATAAAGCATTTTAGGGAAAATAAAGTGTTCTTTTATGCATTTCGCTCTTAAAATATTTCAAATATCGCGTTCTTAAACCCACAACGACTCAACAGACTGCGCAGGCGATTCCCATACCGGTGAAACCCGGGCTCCACCCGCCAGCTGTGTGCGTGTAAGGCGGCTCAAAATCCGATTTTCGCAGCTGCAAAACCCAAGTATTTAATTATTTTGAGCATTCTCTTTTAGAGGTTCTTCAACCAGGCGGTCGAGCTGTCTGAGAAAAGGCAAGATCACCTGAGCCCTCTCACGTGGTTTTGGACCCCTGACAGAGAAACCATCTCACTTTTTGCATATTCCATTTTTTTGAGGACCTGAAGGAAAATGGCAACTGCAAGCGATGCTGTACAGTGTCTGATGCTCACTGTTGCCATATTAGCTGCATTTTCCTGCATTTCGAGGCCGGATTACAACTTTCCACTTTATTTGTATTTTTGGTGGTCTTTCTTCCACGTGCCTGAAGGCAGAAAGGTTCGGCCGACTTCTCCTAAAGCCGCCTGACTTATCTCCTCACCGAAATGCAGAGAACACGCCCTTTACAATCAGTTACTAAGCATTTCTGCTCACCTGGCCCTGAACCCTTAGCCCTAAACCCGGGGGCTTTCATGCGAAATGATGGTATGTATGCATTCTGCTTCCCCTGCTTTTGTTGTTTAGAGGCAGCAGAGGGCGATGGCGATCTTCATGATTCTCTCTTGCGTACAGGATACCATTTTCTTGCTTTACTGGCGTGAGCTGCGTGTACATCCCAGCAGCACGACTCAGTTGAATGCGCTCTAACAGCAAGCGAAAGCCATTATTGTACAAGTTATATTACATGTGCGGCACCGAAGGACGAGCGTATTTTGTCTTTGTAAAGGCAGACTGTACTTTGTATTTCTTCGTTTCTCTTGCTGCAGCTGTCCGTTGGTTCGCGCACGACTGGCTGGCTCTAACGAGTGCAGAAGAAGGCGTTCACATTTTGGCTACAGTGCTGAGCGTCATCGAGTTGGGACTAAAAGTGAGAGATCTCCGAAATTCAAATCAGTATATTTCTCCCCTCTTCTATTCATTCTTACCTCCATATCATTTCCCCTAGCAGCATAAATACGTACATGCATGCATACATGCATGCATGCAGACTTATTTGCAAGCATGCATGCGTGCATATATGCGTGATTGCATGCACGCATGCATGCCTATATATGTGCTTGCCTGCATGCATGCCATGTGTGAGCTTTTGCATGCATGCATGCATGCAACATTTGAAGGGAGTTCTCTCCGTTGTGTCTGTGTGTAAAACAGGTGTTGATCTTAGCACTGCTGCTGGTGCCGAGTATAACTGCCAACACCGCAGAAATAGCGAAGAGGTGGAGCGGCAGCAGCGGCTTCATTCGTGTTGAAATGCCTTCAGCAGAGCCTCAAATGCAGCTAACTCAAACAACACCACAAGCAGCCGCCGCACAGGCAGCAGCAGCAGCACCAGAATATCTCACGCACACCTACGCCGGGGCCCCTACTATGCGCTTAGGCTTCGCCTAGTAAAGAGCAGCTAGCTAGCTACTAATTGGGATAGCTAGCTGTCTAGCTAGCTACCAGACTCGCTAGAAAACTAGCTGCGGAATGCAGCACGCATGCAGACTAGACGCCGTCGTCGCTGGGGTTTATTTTTTTTTGTAAACTGCTGTTTGTTTATAAAACAACGAAACGCCTCTACTACCAGCAGAAACCCCTCCTCACGATCTCAGGTGTATGCATGTACAGCTGCATGAGTTCGCGTGTATGTAAAGCTGCAGACAACCCGGGGCCCTCCTTCGGTAGAAATTCGGGCAAATAAACAGACATAAACAGATAAAAAGTAACAGAAGTGCGAACGCGGCAACAGCAGCAGATACCTCTAAAACAAAAACCTAAAAACTAGCACAACACCGAATAAGGAAACCGAAGGAAAAGGAAGAGAACAGAAGGGGAAGAAGATAATAAAAGAAAGAAGACGCAGAAATAGGCTACTCCTCTTCTGTCTTGTGTTTGTCTTTGATATGCGCACAGTAGAAACGAAATCAACAGCAACACAACACACACACAAATACCAGAAAAAAAAGCTGCATGCATGCAAGGGAGCGCATTTAAATAAACCCTAAATCTAAAAGGGATGGCAGCAGGGAGAATAGATGAATTGAATAAGTGTATATTTTCTCTGAAAGACAAAACAAATAAAAAAGGAATAAGAGGCGGGCAGACAAAGAAAACAACACACACGGCCTCGTTTGTTTCTGTTGTCTTTGTGTACTTTTATTTCTTTCGTCATCTCAAGCGCTCGCAGCAGCCTCAACACCCCTAACTTAGCATGCGGTGCTGCAAACGCTTCAAGACAAAGCAGCAGCAGCAGCTGCAGCAGCAGCTGTGGGCTTTGCTGCTGCTGCTGCGGTGCGCGGTGGCATTCTTGCCATCGTCGCACGTAAAGTTGCTGCTGTCGGCGCTAAAACTGTGTCTGCTGCTGCTGGGGTACTCCTACAGCAGCAGCAGCAGCAGCAGCAGCAGCAGCTAGCCGTAGCGGAGGACAGCAGCAGCCCATGTAAGGCCAGCGCCGAATCCCGCCATAGCGATGAGGTCTCCTTTCTTTACTTTTCCCGCTCGCACCTAAAAAAAGAATAAAACAATCATTTAAAAAGTAAGGCAATAAACATAAGCAATGAACAAAGAAAGACTGGAGCAAACAACTCACGAACTAGTGAAAGAAATAATAAAGCAAGAAACAAACAAATTAACAATAATAATAGTGATAATAATAATAAACAAAGGGAGGAAATACACAAGCAATAAACAAGCAGACGACAGAAGTAAACAAACACACAAAATAAATAAACAATAAACCAACACGAAAGAATAAAGAAAAGACACACAAAACAAGAAAATAATTAAAACAAGGAGAAATAAAACAAGATGATAACAAGCAAAACAAGAAAAAAAGAATTAAACAAAAAATTAATAGCAAATAAAACAAGCAGAGACAAATAAAACAACAAGACGATAATAGATAACGAAGAAAACACAGACAGAAACGTAAAAAAGAGAAATAAAACAAGGCGATAATAACCAACAAAACAAGGAAAACGAAGAGACAAATAAAACAACAAGACAGTTATAAACAACAAGAAAAGAAAAAGAAATAAAGCTTTCGCTTCTCACTGCTTCTGAGAGACAAAGCGGCACAGAAGCCGCAGATGTATTGCCGTACTCTTCCAGATTGCATAACACCTAAACAACAAAAAACAGGGTTTAGGGTTTAGTGGTTAGGGTTTAGTGTTTAGGGTTTACGGTCTGCTACAGAGCGTTTGGGGTTTAGGGTTTAGTGTTTAGGGTTTAGAGTTTAGGCTCCCTACAGTTTGTTTTTTAAAGGCAATGCAGACGGACACAACAACAAAAAGAAGAAAACAAAAAATAAACAAAACACTAGACGCAGATACAGAAAAACAGTAGTAACTCACATCATACGACTGAAACGAAGAAAAACCCGTTTTAATTGTGTAATGCAACAGAAGAAGAAAGAGACAGAAACAAACAGAGACAGAGACATCAAATGCATGTACACGTACATACACACGCACATATATATATATATATATATATATATATATAAATGCCTATACATCTATTATATATATACATTATATATGAACAGATAAATATAAATATATATATATATATATGTACATATATTCTAACCTTCTCTTTGGGGATATTGAGTCTTTCTGCGACTGCATCAATGATGCGTTTATTCGCTTGATGCAGCAAAAGCCAATCAATATCTGCTGGAGAGACATTAGCTGCTTTAATTGCATCTTCAAGAGAGAGCGGCACTCTCCGTGAAACAAATTTAAATACTTCTCTCCCATTCATAGTTAGGGGGGAGAAACATCCTCTGCTTAAACATACACGACCCCTCTGAACAAACAAGACAAAAAAAATAATTAATCATGATGCAGAAGTACAACAATATGTTTTAATGTACAACAAAGGAGGTGTATATACACCGCAAATGTAAACAACTCTCCATGCACTCTTGAAGATTAAAAATATATATTAAATATTAATTCATTAATTAAAGCAATTGATTAGACTGACAACGCACACAGTCAATTCATAAGCCCGAAATAAACAAACAAAAAAAGATAAAACAACAAAATAAACGAATAAAGACTACACAGAGTATATACAAAAAACGAACAAAAGGAAAGCAGATTAAATTATAGACGATTTTCTTTTTAACTACATTCGAGGGAAAAATGCAATAATAAGGTGTATATACACCGCATATACCTGTGCACGTTTAAAATCCAGAGGGTTTTCTGTGCCGCTGTAATTCAATTGAATTTGTTTTTGTTCAAATCCATCGCTGTGCATGACATAACTGAGCAGACCTAAAGGCTTCTCCTGCGTCTCCCCCTCAGCAGCAGCAGCAGCAGCAGGAGCTGTTAATACAGCAGCTCCTGCTGCATCACCAAATAATATACATGTATTTCTGTCTTCCCAGTCAAGCCAACGGCTGAGAGCATCCGACCCGACTAACAAAATGCGCTGATAAGGAGAACCCGCGCTAGTGAGGTACATGTTAGCTGCGCATACACCCCAAACCTTAAACCCTCAACCCTTAACCCTAAACCCTAAACCCTAAACCATTGGTCTAAACCATTGGTCTTTAGGAGGCACCTGCGCTTGCTGCCTATACACCTCAACCATCAATGCAGCAAAACGACAGCTTTTAAATGTCTTAAAGCACAGAATTACTTTAATTGGAAAAAGCAGCACCAAGACAAGGGTTAAGGCAGCAGAGAGAAGAAGAAAACAAATAAAATAAAAAGAAACAGGTAAAACTACTCAGTTGAACGTACCCGTAATAAGTCCCACAACAAAACCCGAACAAGCAGCCGTAATATCAAAAGCAGCAGGGGGGGAGTGAACGACTTCCTGCTGCTGCTGCTGCTGCTGCTGCTGCTGTTGCTGCTGTTGGTTTTGGATTTCTGCTGCAAGCCAGGGCCCATCCCCGAAGAGATCATCAGGAGAAGAAGATGCATGCAGCAGCAAATCAATATCTTTAGCTTTTAAACCGCTGGTTTCTAAAGCTTCAGTCGATGCCTTTAACGCCAAACCCCTCAAACTCTCTCCGTGCATTAACACACGCCGAGCACAAATCCCCGTACGCGTTCGAATCCACTAAACGCAAAAAATAAAATTAATTAATTCAATAATTAATGCGTCTACGCATTTTAAATCAATAAGTAAACAAACAAATCATATAAATATAAATATAGAACATAAACATAAATATAAGTATAAATATATATATATGTATATGTATATGTATGTGTATATGTATATGTATATGTATATGTATATGTATATACACATCGTAGAAATACGCATATGATAAAGTAATAACAAATAACTCAACAGTTAAATCAGGCGTTAAATAAATATAATAAAATGTGTGATTAAAGGAGACAAATTAAATAAATTAATAAAACTAAAAGAAAGGAAAACATACAAACGAACCCAGAAGAAATTCAAGAAACCGAAAAAACGAATGAAGTAAATGCAAATAAATAAACATAAATAAATAAATGTAGATAAATAAATATACAAATAAGCAAGCATATATATACATAATATATATATATATATACATCTATATATATATATATATATTATAGATAAATATAATTACCTCATCGCTGGTGTCAACGATATCAGTCATATCTTGGTTTGAGATGCGGGTCTCAGGCACAGCCGCGCCAACTCCAATTAAACGGCAGCCTCTGCCTGCACAAGAAGCAGCTTTAATAGGAGCAGCAGCAAACAATCTTGATCCTCTCCTGCTGCTGCTGCTGCTTATAAACTGCTGCTCAGCAGCAAGAGGGCCCCCACCAGCTTGCACAAAGAAAGGAGTAGAAATACGCGAAGACGTAACTCTAAGGGGGGCCCCCATCATTGAACAGGGGGCCCCCCTTTGCTGCTGCTGAGAGGCTACTGTAGACAGCAATGAACGAGGGTTCCCCCCTAAGACAAAGGCAGGAGAAGGCAGGGGCCCCCTAGAGGACCCCCTAAGGGGCCCCCTGGGGGCCCCCCCTAAAGCTCCCCACTCGTTGAACTCAAGCAGAGATGATGGAGCTGCTGGTGCTGCTGCTGTTTTTGTTGTTGCTGCTGCTGCTGCTGCAGCTGCAGCGGCGGCAACTGCAGGAGAGGGGCTATTCGCCGGTTGGAGATGATGATTAAGGGCTCGATGAAGCTTCAGAGTTTCACAAAGTGCAGAAGAAAACAATAAAAAGAAAGAAAATACGAAGAAAAACACAATACTTGGCAGCAGCTGCAAGTAGTTGTTGAGCCCCCCCATTAGCAAGTAGACCTGCTTAGACAGCTGGCGTAGGGAAATGAAGCATCACTGATTGGAGGAGAAAATAAATAAAATAAATTAAACTTTTAAATAAAATTAACAAACTTTTTGCGAAATATGAACGACTAAACATTCATTATTTCGTAAACAGACCCCCTTACCCCTGCTTATTCAGGGCAGACTGCCCCATCTACTGGCGCGTTGATACGGGCGATCCTCCAGCATATTACGAAAATAAATTCAGAAAATGCAAAGAAATATATATTTAATCCATTAAGATACAAATTAAACAAATAAAAGATGGAAATATACGTTAGACATGAGACAAACCGCTGCTGCTGCTGCTGGCTGCGCTGACGACGCTAAGGCAGCTTGTTGTGTGCTAGAGACAGCAGAGTATTTTTTCTCTGTCTCAGCCTCTTTCTCCTCATGAATAAATTAAATTATTTATTATTTTATTTATTTTTTCAATTTTAATCAATTGAAGCAAGCTTCTTTCGTGAAAACAACTGAATAAACAACATAACACCCAGCGCAGCCACCTCCTCAGCCGCCTTAAGTATACTATATTTTCTCTTTGTATTTGAAAACGAAGAAAATACGCACATTAAACACAAAAATAACAGTACGAAAACCTTTTTATTATTTAAAAAGTATTTATTTTTTGTTTAGTTGTTTCTTTTTTCATATTAATTCTGCGCAAGGAAACAACTGAGTGGCGGTGTCTACTCCGTTAGTCTGATGGTTTATACTATTACAAAATATAAACAAGGATATTAAATATCATTATTATATATATATATACACACACATATATATATACGAATGTATATTAAACATCATTATTATATATATATATATATAATATATACATAAATATAATAATATTTATTAGATATACATATATATGCGCATATATATATTATATACATATGCATATATACATATGTATTTATGCATATATATATGTATGTATGTAAATATATATATATATATATATGTTTGCACGCCCATAACATATTCTGATGTACAGAAATACATAAATTGTATAATAGTTTTTATTTTCATCTCTATCTGCACGACAACAACAAAATAAAAAAGAGTATTAGTCAAAAGAAAAAAGAATAACTCAAAGGGAGATGCAAATAAAAAACAATAATTAACTGACGTCTTCTGTTTAAGAAAGAGAAATCAAAAGGAAGAAAAGCACAAAGAGATAAAAAACAAACACTTTCAGTTAATGATATGCTTTTAGATAAAGATACAATATATATATATATATATATGCATATACATATATATATATATATTATATACGCACATATATACACATATTTGTATATTCATATATATATAGATATATACTTTCACATATATCTATATATACTTATACATTCTGATTTGTAGTTGATGATGCATTAAGAGATAAAGATGTAGCATTGCTTGTTAGTGCGTCAAGAGAAAATGATTAAACACTTCCTGATAAGAAAGCTTAACGAAAAAAAGATAGAGAAAAAATACATTTAATCTTTATCTCGTACATATATATATATATATATATATCTGCATATATTTCTTCCTTATCCCGCAGATGTATATGTTATACATATATGTATATATATATATATATATTTATATTTATATTAAATATGAAATATGATTATATATATGTATATACATTCCTAGTTAACAGAACATTAAGCGATTAGATATGCATATGTTTATCGTTAGTGGTGAATGAAGAGCTAAAGACTAAATATTTCTTGATAGTTGCGTGACTTTAGTTTCTTTATATATATATATATATATATGTATATATATACATGTACGTATATATATATACATATCTTTTTATTTTTAATGTTTTTGTTGTGTGTTTGTGTTGCTGTCAGTCTATGGCTTGCATGCGTTTTCGTCTATTTGTTTTACTTCTTTTTCTTGTTTTGTTTGATTCCTAGTTGCATATTTAATTGTCTATTTCTACTATGTTTTTGTATTTGTTGTTTCTGTATATATTTGCCTGTGGTTGTTGCTGTTAACTTGGAGGCGTAGATACATCGAGAAAAAAAGAATAAAATTTGATGTTATTTGGGGTGTATATACAGCAAAAGGATCTATTCTTTTAAATGAATAAATCCTTTTAATTTGTTTTTACTTTTTTTGTGCTGTTTTTCAGAAAAGAAAACACTTCAAATAACTACAGTGTTGGTGCGGGCGTTTATCTTTTCTATATTTGTTTATTTGTTTGTTTATTTGTTTTGTTTATTCTCTTGCTGTACATAGCAGAAGAAATATAAAGAGAAAAAGGGAGAGCATCAGAGAGATGGGATGTACAGAAAGAGCAGAAAATACTTTATTTCATTCAAGAAGAAGACCTATAAAATAAAGACAGAAAAATACATTTACAATTATATAAACCTCTCCAGGTGTATATATCCCTAGGGAGGGAAAAACAAAATCTTGCATGCATGCTTGTTATATGAATAATATCTTATACGAATAAAATATTGTATAAATGTATCCTGCACTATATGGATTGCACCTTAATTTTTAACGCACAATTTATAGATTTTTTTGTATATATTTTAGATAGTTGCATACTTAAATAATGCAAATACTTGTTAAGCAACAGATGTTTATCAAAAGAGGAGGCAAACGAACGCAAGAAAGCAACAAAAATGTAGCGGAAGAATAAATAGACTTAAATAGAAAGATGCATTATAAATATTTTGAGGGTGTTTGTTTGTCTGCATCATAAAGAGAGAGCAGATAGTATATATTGTGCGATATATTTGCTGTACTTTATTGCGCTCCCCTACTAAATTTCATTATATTAATATATGCTACCGAAGCAGATCATTATTCCCCATTAAAACAATTATCTTAGAGATCCAGGGGATGCAAATAAGCAGAATAAAGATTTGAATTAAATAAAAAATTAAAATTTTGAATTCAACTTAAATATAAGGGGCACTGGCGTGCTGGTGTGCGTGTGTGTGTGCGGCGCCGCACATGATAAATCCGTTGGAGCTGTATTTGCAGACAATAAATATGCTTTTGTTTAAACAAGAAAGAAACGAAGAAACAATTAATTTTATTTTAAATATTTCCTTTTTAATCGTAAAAACAAACAAATGAAATGGTCAGCAAGTGCTGCGCCAGTGGAGAAGAAGATGCGGCAGGATGGTCTTCTTGTTGAGGTGTCTGTACACCTGAATTGGTGTTGAAGAATCTTTTGAAATAAGGGGAAATATTTGAATTTAGATTCAAAAAGAGGGTATTTATGCATTTTTTGCATATATTTTCCTTATTAGTCCTTCTACCTCCTCTTCTTCGCTTGTAAGCCCCACTGACAACCATCGACGCTTCTCTTCCGGTTGTCATAGTGTTCAGTATTGGTGCTCGGTATTCTTCATTAAAAAAGTACTTCGACGCAATATATATATTAAAATATATCATTTCAATACTTTTTCTTCTTCCGTCTCATCTTAGAAATGGACGTGGAGGCAGATCTAAGCCGTCTGCGCGATGCAGCAGTTCAGCAGCAAATACGTCTATGGCTTGCTTTAGACAAAAATGCTCAGTCTCAACAAGAAGCAAAACGGTTGATTAAAGAAGCTTCTGAAGAACAGCTGAAGGAGGTCTTCTGCAAACACCTAAAATTCGGCACAGTATGCCTTTACTTCTACCATTCCAAACCCTAAACCCTAAACCCTAAACCCTATATACTAAACCCTAAACGGGAAGCCCCACACCAGCAGCAGGAAACAACCTTTTTCTCTTTATTTTTAACAACTCCTGTGCCTCTTTGTACAACACACATCATAGATGTTGATAGGAAAACTCGCAGTGAAAGGCATAAGGAATACATGCCAAATGCAGCAGCAATTATAATACAATTTGAATGCAAACAAACTAATAAACAAACAAACACAGTAAATATAATGCATAACATATCGCACACACTCCTACTCATTCATCTGTCTAAAAGCAGCAAATAAAAGGCCGCGTTTTACCCACTGCGGCAGCGGCAACAGCAACAGCAGCGGCAGCCGCATATGCAGCAGCAGCAGAAGCAGCAGCAGCAACATCAGCAGCACCAGCAACAGAAGCAATAGCATTAGCAGCAACGTTTCTCTATAGGTTGTTAAGATGCATCTTCAGCGTATGTGTACGAATGCATGCATGCAGCAGATCACTCGTACTTTCTCTTGTACATCATATTCTTATATTTACATATATATATATTTATTTATTTATTTATATTTATAACCCTTTATTTTGTTTATATTTGGGGTGTATATACAGGCAGGGCTAAGGGCTCATATGGGCGCTGGGTTTAGCAGATTGAACGATGTTACAATTCAACAAGCGTCACAGGTAAGCATTCTTTATTTCATTTGTTTTGTTTATTTGTTTATTTGTTTATTTGTTTTGTTTATTATAATTGCGTTTGTTTAATTTGTTTGCTGTGCCTGCGTTGTAGATATTTGTTTGTTTGCATTTGCCGTTCATTTCTTTATTTTCTCTCTTTATTTTAATATTTTATTTTTGTTTTTAATTTTCTTCGCTTTCTTTTTATTACTTCCGTTTGTCTGTTGCTGCATTTTGGTGCTTTGCATGCCTCACCAATTAATATATCTGCATACAAGAATTCAATATATATAATATATAAATATATATGCATATAAAAATATGTCTACTATCTAATATATATATATATATATATATATAATGTCTGCTATCATATATATATATATATATATATATATGTCTATGTGTATGATAGTCTGACTGTGGGTGCTCTGAGGTGTATATGCAGGCTGTGATTTAGTTGTTGTACTTCCTTATAATCTGTTTAATATTGGTTGTAGGATGTTAATTAATTGTTTATAATTTGCATGCACAGTATATTGAGGTGTACATACACTGCAATTGCTTCAGGGTCTGGCAGATTATTTAATTAAACGCCACGGGGCAGACATTTGTTCAACTCGCGGAATTATTATAGGCAGAGACTGCAGACATAACTCTGAAAGGTAAATTATATTCATAATTATATTAATATTAATATTATTATTAATATTTATATCGATATTTATATTTATATTTGTGTTTATGTTTGTGTTTATGCTTGCGTTTATGCTTATGTTTATGTTTATGTGTGTATTTATATTTTATGTTTATGTTTTATATTTATGTTTATGCTTATGTTTCTGTTTATGTTTTCGTTTGTGCTTATATTTATATGTATATTTGTATTTTATATTTATGTTTTATATTTATATTTATGTTTATGCTTATATTTGTGCGTTTATTTTTAATATTTTTATGATTGTAGTTATATCTATGGATTCGGGTGTATAGACAGTGCAGAGAAAGGCGTTTATTATCGTTTGTCCATATATTTAAAGTCATATAATTAATTAAACTAATTAAATTAATTAAATTAATAAAATTAATTAAATATTTTGACTAAGATAAGTTCACTGAAGTCTCATTGCTTAGGGTCTCGAGCCCTTCATAATACTCCTATTAGTAAAACAATTAGTATTACATAAATTTGTTTATTATAATATAATGAGTTGTTTATGATAATTACGTATATATATAATGCATATATATATGTATATACATGTACACTATATACTTACGTATATATGAAGTATATATATCTATGCATATAAAATATATATACATAAATATACTATATATCATCCATATATATATATATATATACATACAATATATATATATATATATATATAGTTAGAGCAGATCTACCGACCATGTTAGTTTGCATTTTGTGTTTGAAGTGTTTAAAGACAAGAATGAAGATTGTTTGTGTAAATACCGCGTTGTGTTTGTTTATCTGTTTTGTTGGACTAATAGCTATGGTTTAGGGTTTAGGGTTTAGGGTTTGTGGTTTGTGGTTTGTGGTTTGTGTTCAGATTCTCTCATCTTGCTGCTGCTACATTTTTGAGTCGAGGGTTTCGGGTGTATTTATGCAGAAGTGCTGTACATACACCGCTTGTAGCATTTGGTGTTCTTCATTTAAACTGCGTCGCGGGTATTGTTATTACTGCTTCACATAACCCTAAAGAGTATAACGGATATAAAGTTTATGATGAAAACGGCGCTCAAATTATCCCTCCAGTAGATGCAGATATTGCTAACGCCATTCAAAATAATCAGGTATGCATGCAACTAAAACCCTAAACCCTAAACCCTAAACCCTAAACCCTAAACTCGGAAGCCTAGTGGACGTTAAGAGCGGAACCCTAATACTTAAACCCTAAACCCTAAACCCTAGATCCTAAAGGCTGAACCCTAAACAGGAATAAACCCTGAACCCTTAACCTGTTGTCCTAAACCCTAAACCCTAAACCCTAAACAAACTGCCTGTACACTTGAACACCCCATTAGAGGGTGTTCCCAATGGGGTGATATATATATATATATATGTATATATATATATATATATATATATATATATTCGGGCTCCATGCTTGTTTGTTTGTCCATACACCGCAAAATGTGCTGACGCCTGCATTTATTTGAATTAATTATTTCATTATTTTATTTTTTATTTCTTTTTTTTTTCAGAGTCTGTGGCCGGAAGTGGAGGAAGTGTTTGACCGATCAAAGGGTTTTATTTTTGTTTCTGAAGACAAAGCGCAGCAGTTGGTAGACCCAACAAAAGAACTAACAGAAGAATATTTATCTTCAATAACAGCAGACTTGTGCATGCGAAAGGAAGAAACACAAAAATCTTCTCTTAAAGTTGTATACACCCCAATGCATGGGGTGGGCTTACCCTTTGCAAAGGCTCTCCTCAGCAGATTCGGATTCACACAAGGACTCGTTACAGGCAAGGGTTTAGGGTTTAGGGTTTAGGGTTTGGGGTTTAGGGTTTAGGCGTTGGGGTTAAGTGCACTAGAACTTCAGGTTTCGGGTTTAGAATTTAGGGTTTAGGGCTGAGGGATTAGGGGCTTTTAGGGTTTAGGGCTGAGGGGTTAGGGACTTGTTAGGGTTTAGGGTTTAGGGTTTAGGGTTTAGGGTTTAGGGTTTGTGGGTGCGTTGTGTTCAGTGGATGAACAGTGCATCCCTGATCCTGATTTTTCGACTGTCTCTTTCCCAAACCCTGAAGAAGAAGGTGCATTAAACTTAGCTATTAAAAAAGCAGAAGAAAACAATATTTCTTTTGTTGTTGCTAACGATCCCGATGCAGACAGACTCGGCTGCGCTGAAAAAGTCAAGTCCGCAAACCCTAAACCCTAAACCCTAATCGCTAACCGCTAAACCCTAAAACCCTAAACCCTAAACCCTAATCGTTAAGCACTTGACGATTAGCACTGAACCGTCAACTCTAGACCCTAAACACTAGACGCGTAGCGTTATGCCCTAAACCCTAAACCCTAAACCCTAAATCCTACGTAATAAACCGCAGAGCTATAACCCTAAACCCTAAACCCTAGACGCTATACACTGAACCATAGAGCGGCTAAAGCCTAAACCCTAATCTTGAACTATTTCTTGCAAACTGAGTGAGGGGTTCTGACAAAGGGTTTAGGGTTTAGGGTTTAGGGTTTAGGGTTTAGGGTTTGTGCTGCAGCGGAGAGTGGCATCAGTTTACCGGGGATGAAATCGGCATAATGTTGGCTGCATATTTATTAGAAGTGCGAGTGAAGCAGAAAAAAGAAAAAGCAAAGATGCTTTTTATTTCTTCTGTTGTCTCTTCCTCTATGCTTAAGGCCTTTGCAGAGGTATGGATGGGGCACTCTCCTAGGGTTTAGGGTTTAGGGTTTAGGGTTGAGGGTTTAGGGTTTAGGATTTAGGGTTTGTACGGGGTGTGGAACAGCAGCAGTAGTAGCACCAGAAGCAGCAGCAGCAGAAGCAGCAGCATACATATTATTATGTATATGATATATGTATATATATATATATATATATATATATTCACGATGTAAATACATGTATATAGGAGTATATAAAGATATATTATATATACTTATATATATATATATTTGTGTTTTTGTATTTGTTTGTTTCAGGCGAACGGCTGCGTATATCGGTGCACAGGGACAGGGTTTAAGTGGATAGAGAACAGGGCAGCATTGCTGCAGCAGCAGCAGAGTTTGGAGCCTGTGCTGCTATATGAAGAAGCTTTAGGGTTTGGGGTGTATGCACAGGTAAGAGATAAAGACGGTGTAAGTGCTGCAGCAGTATTAATTGAGCTTGCATGCAAATTGCATGCAGACGGAAGCAATTTATACAATTTCTTGCAGCAGCAGCAGCAGCAGCACGGCTTCTTTCTTTCTTGTAATGTTAGCGTAAGGCAGCAGCAGCAGCAGCAGCAGCAAATTATATCTCATTTTCGCAGCAACGGGAGTTATATAAAATGCATTGGAGGGTATGCGATAAAGACATTGATTGATGCAGAAAAAGGCGTAAAGATTGACAATGAAGAAGATAGAAAAAACAATAAAGATGATGAAGCTGAAAAAGAAGAAAATATA